ACAAGTGCGTAACTACACTCTGCAATGAACCCTGTCGTCCATACAACTCAATGCTTTTCCGGGCTCATCTCAATGTGTAGTTACGCCTTTATGTCATCCAAGCACAGAGTAAGGCTTATAGATGTGTGATAGACGTTTTAAACAAAATGGAGGAGTGATATTCATATTTAAGGATGGCTGAACTGCTCAGCCATTTTCGAATCAGTTCGTTTGATTTTCTTATATATGCATACTTTAACAGCGTGGCGCGTTTTTATAAATATTAAAAAAAAAAAAAACCTAAATAATGGAGCTCGCTCATCTCTAGGATTTCCATTAAGAAAATACATAGAATAACGAAAATCAATCAACCTAAAAGATTGAAGCCTTAGTAACTTTTTTCCAAGATCTCAAAGATTCAGAGCAAGCCTGCTAGTCACTTTTCGGTAAGCAACTCAGGCACTCGATACATAGAGGGTCGAAACGATCGCAAAAGCGGTATGCTACGTATACGCGCCGAAAAAAATTCTAACAGCCCTCACTGATGGACGGACTAGAAAATCTGCCCTAAAAGTGGTGAGGATCCACCCTTAATCGCTCGCGGATGCGCACCTGAAGGTTTGGGGTGTAATCTTGCGGCGCGCAGTGGCGTCGCGGTATTTGCGACTCTAGGTGAACCGGGGGTGATTCACAACCGTGTTCTTCATACGAAGTGTGGACGAAATCAACAACCCTCTGTTTTAACAGTCGCCCCTTACGTGCCGTGTGCTGTGTGCGTTCCATTCTCCTCCTTTCGTGTTTACCTTTCTCATGGTGTTGCTTTCCTTCTAGCCTCTTCACTTACCTCACCCTCCGGGGGCGGGGGGCGGGGGGTGATTGGCAAACAGCGTTGTCATGGAGTAGGGAATGGATGAAATGAATGATTGTTCTCAAAGGTGGTGTTGCCGGGTGATGACACATTCCTAACCCTCTGTAAAGTGGGTAGTATACTGTCGTGTTTCGTAAAAACGACGCAAGAGCATTCGAATATTGCCAAATTTTTTCATCGAAAGTATTTATTTTAAAAAAAAGTAACTTAATCGGCCCGAAACATTAACAGAGAAACAACTTAAAACGGGACTAAGGCCGCGAATAATGAAAAGAAACACATAAAATAAAATAAGAAACCCGGGACGTTTCGCAGGGATCACACCCGCATTTTCAACCGGCAAAACAAGAAAAATTAAAAGAAAGGACACTATGAGCCTCACCGTTGTTATTGTGAGATTCACTTTTATTTTATGTGTTTCTTTTTATTATTTGTGGCCTTAGTCCCGTTTTAAGTTGTTTCTCTGTTTATTTTTAAAGAAAGTTATGAATATTTTTCATTGAATTTTCAGAATTTTTAGATTTATATACGGACGAAATCCTGTAAAAAATCGGAGTAGAAATATTCACAAATTTTCCTGAAAATTCGTGATTTGTAGAAGGAAATTTGGAAACGCCTGATGGCTCATACGGCGTTCTTAAGCAAGACAGTATAATGCTGCCATGTTGGGGGAAAACGCAGTAAGAGCATTCAGAAAATGCCGAATTTCTTTTTATCAATGACGAATTCTCAAGAAGATGATGTATATTTTTTTGTGTTTCTCACAGAGTTTTGTTCGCAATTTAAGCTAAAATTTCGAAGACAAACGGACGAATTTATCAGAATCAGCTTAACTGCATCAACATCAGATGTTGCCTAATTTTCATCGATGTTTTATTTTTGCAACAGCACACTAAGCAACGCAGGAAATTGAGATTTTGCGAGTATATTTTATGATAAATTCAATGTTTATAGGCGCTAGGTATTTTAGTTCTCTGATGCTAAAAAAGGCAATTCGATAACGTGAAATGCGGGCTAATTCTGGATTTCCAGTTGAACACATCCAAGTAATCTTACTTAACGGAAATTCTTGTTGTAGATGCTACTATAGAAATTTCTCATGCAAACAACAGGAATAATCTCATTGTTTCAAAGTGCGTGTTTCCATATACCAACGGAAGTAGTGGGCAGAGTAAGCTTGGGATATGTATAAGTATCCAAGCATGAAGAAAACACTCATTCGCGAACTTTTATTCGCACATGATAAGAATTCAGGATGACCTAAATTATGTTTTAATTTGATAATTTAGGGTTGACGCTAAATGGTTTATCTATTGGTACAGCTCATTTATAATGGCTAAAATGAGTGGTCTTCAACAGGAAACACCCGTAAACGTAAACGAGTCCCCTTACAATAGCTTACCTAAAATTTTATGAGTCAATCTGGTCTTCCCGTTAGTATGGAGAGACACTATACCTACAAATTTTTGAAAAGTGTAAACTTCACGCCACGGTGCCAAAATGAGCCGTGCAATTCATGCATATTTGAAAAATATTATGAGTCCATCGTATCGCAAAAGGCATGATCTCAAGGTTGCAATATCCCACAATCGGCAAAATCCGATTCTTCTTCCCCCTTCCGGCCAGTTCCTCGTTTTATAACAGCTGCTAAAATTTTCCCCGACGAATATTTTGCAAACGCAACAGCGTCATCTTCTGACGCTTATTTCGAATCCATGACCTACGCCGCGCACCGCACCGCATGCATAAAAAATGAATGTTGTTATTTTAAAGTCGATTAACATGATGTAACGGGTTTAAAAAATGATGCAATGTGTGACGATGATGAGACTCATTGCGATTTAACAATCCTGTTGATCGTTTCTGGAAGTCTTCCAAATTTTTCTCGTTGAAATGACATATTTATTCAACATCTGTACATCTGACGAGGAATTAAAAAAGAGGTATTTTTAAAGTTTTCTAAAATTCTAATTAGCTAACCTGGTGCGCGATGAAGCACTTTATCCTTGGAAAATGATGGAAAGAACTTTAACACGGAATATGTTAGGATACCATTAATCATGAAAATAAATTTCGGGGTTCGTATTGAAACACTTTCTGCAAGTTGTTCTTCGATAATTTCGAGTCTCTCAAAAAATGCTGGCGTTGGGTTTAGCGACTGAGTTCATAGTCAATAGATTTTCCGATTTGGACATCTATTTGAGCTTCATCGATCACATTAGTTAAATGAGCAGTGGCGATTTTGCGAGTTGGCAATACTGTTTCTCCTCCATTTAAATCCACTAAAAAGCTCGATTTTCGGCGCGGCAAGCTGCCTCCCTGAAATCGATTGTTTGATATACATTCAGATGGAGGAAAAACAGAATTGCCAACTTTCGAGAATCGCGACATGTTACGTGGTTGAGGCATGACCACCATCCCCCATCTACGGTAGGAAAGTCGTGGGGGCGGCAAATATGTAAATCCACCCATGTTCTCAGCGTCCCCAAATTTTCATTTACAAGCAGCGTGACTGAAGAAAGTTTCGAGGTGCGGAGATTGAGTAAAGAAAAATCCAATTAAATTGCAGACAGACGAAATGCAACAACGCTTAAGGAAAAAAGAGAAAGCAACAGCTTTCGTACTTGTACATAGAGTCTGCCTGTCTGCAAAGCTCCAAGCTAAAGTACTTGATACTAACAGTCATTAACGCTATCTAACCCCCTCCCCCTTCCCGCGGTCCGATTAAGTTCCTTGAGTTCGCACAGCTTTTTATCGCTCTTTAATTGTTATTATAAATAGCTCGCGTCGGATGGATTATCGAACAGGTGCTTGAGAGCTTTCCTCGAGAGCAGACTATGATAGGGCCTTAATTTTTGGCCGAATCTCGCCTCTCCTTCTTTTTGGTGATCTATCTTGGGCAGCTTGTTTCGCAACCTGTCTGCGATGGAAATTAGCGGAACCTCCAAATTTTTTGGTAAATTAATCCGACCTCATTATTACTACCGTCAAAAATGAGATCTATTTTATTTCCAGTGCCAAAAATGCGGATAAACATGTAAGTCGCCAGGAGGAGGATTTCACATATGATATAGCCGAATTCTTAAATTCCGCAGTGAAAAAAAAGTAACGGCCTATATAGACAAACCGTCCGTTCCGGGCTCAGAAGCCGAAAGTTCCGGGTGCTGGAGTCATGGCTTCAACTATTCCGGGTGCTACGCCCGGAACGCGGACGGTATATCTAGTCCGTACGTACGGCTTCCACGGCCGGAGTTTTTTTCCAGTGCAAATGTGGCACGTGTTGTACGGTCCGAAAAAATTTTTTGGAAACCAAACCTAGGTGCCTTGCGCAATTTATAGACGGCCTCTAAATCGTAAAGTTCCAGCGAAAGTAACACAGGCGTCAACTAAGCTCAGATGCTATGTTGCCTAACTCTTAAGCTTGCCAGATTTTTTTACGGAAAAACTAATAAGCAGTCACTTGAAAATTTGATCCAATATTTCTTTTTTTATTCAGATTAATCCTTGAACGTGAAAGAATGTGCAAAACAATTTTAGAAAAAATTGAAACAATATTGAGATGTCCGGCATCACAGCGTCTAGACGTAAATTGCGCTTGTGATACTTTTGCCGGAAGGTGACAAAATCGTCACATTCCGGCCAAAGTATCACAAGAGCCAGGCAAAGTTACAAAATTTCCGCCGTCATTTTGTTTTTTCACAGAGAAATTGATCAATGAAGCTGTCCGAAAATTACACTGATTTTCTTTGTGCTACCGATAAAATACAGTGAAATTTTCAAATGGAATCAACCAGCAATTCTGTCTGTAAAAAATGTACTAGCGGCTGAAATTTTGAAACGTTACATGGCGCTTGTGATACTTTGGCCAGGAGGTGACGAACTGTGCGTTCATCTCATACCCATCGAACCCGCTCTCACCATAGCTACATCACCAAACTGCGTGATACAACTATATCAACACCCGAGTAGCTCAAATTGCATATCCACTGAATTGAAGGCGCACCTATAATTTGTCGTTTGAAATAGAAGATAGTCAACCATATTAAAATGGCCGGAAGGTGATGAAATAAAGATGGAATCGCCTCTTGAATCACTATAGATATTAATTTTGAGCGCAGCCTACTAATTTTTCTTTCGTTACCCCTTGTTTCAGAGCAATTACGGAACGGAGAGCAGTCAGGTCTGCTCGGCGGAGAACTCAGCATGCAAGAAGCCGCCCTATTCCTACGTGGCGTTGATCGCCATGGCCATAGACTCCGCCCCCACCAAGAGGATGACCCTGGCAGGGATCTACCGCTACATCACGGATAGGTTCCCTTACTACCGGGATAACCGGGAGGGCTGGCAGAATTCCATCAGACACAACCTCAGCCTCAACGAGTGCTTCGTCAAAATCCCCAAGGACCGGGAGAAGTCCCGCGGCAAGGGATGCTACTGGACGCTCGACCCTGTCATTGCCGACCGCATGTTCGAGGGAGGCAACTTCAGGAGGCGTCGCCGACAGCGCTCAAGACAGTATCAGGTTCGTGTTTCCCTATTTCCTTACTTCTATACGAGCAGGGCCGGATTAAGGGGGTGGTCACATGGGCCGCGGCCCATGGCGGCGAATCTAGGAGGCGGCAAATTTTGAAATTTTTTTAAATGTAGGTGTAAAAAAATCGGATTTAGAAAAAAATTACATACAAAATCTCTCATTTCCTGAGAGTATGGTAATTTCTAATTTTGTCGTCTCTTAGTGATACAAGAGACAGCACCTTTAATTAATCGAGTTAAGAGAGAGACCAAACACGCAATTCGGCCAAGAACGGCGTGACTGAGAGAGAAATGATGACGAGAACGTGAGATGAAAAGGAGAAACCCTCGGCGCGGCGGTCGGCATGTAACCCATATTAGCGCCTACAAGACTGCATGAATACTTCACGCATTGCATCAAACAGAGGGCGGTCACTGCGGTCAGCGTGAAACGGATAGCGCCTACAAGACTGCCCGAATACTTCACGCATTGCGTCAAACACAGCAGCGGTCGTCGGCGTGAAACCCATAGCGCCTACAAGACTGCGTGAATACTTCACGCATTGCTCCAAACACTGTGAGAACACCGGGAGAACACCCCAGAACCCTTTCCAGGCAAGGCCCTTAAGTGTACCTTCGGAGGGGCCCGCCCCATAAAAATTTGGAGCCAATCTACTTCTGGGCAAACATATAATAATTTACAAAAAAAAAACTCCCGAACCCGCCAAGTAAATTGCTCACCTCGGCATTATCAAATTGCGAATTTTCGAAGAGTTGCTTATCAGTCACCGCGCATCTGTGGCGTAGCTAGGAATTTCTCAGGAAAGGGAGGAGGAAGGCACAATCACGAATGAAGTTTATCAAATTTCGAAAAATTTGAGTCCGGAGGAGTGACCCTCGAAAATTTCAAAGCAGTAGCGATGGGTAATTTTTCCTGCTCCTCTGGCAACGCCGCTCAAACTACTCATCCTTTCATTGTCAGTGACTTTTCTCCTTCACTCTTCACTCGAGGAGACTCGCTGGAACTACAACGGCGATTGATCAGTTTTCGATAGTTTCCTTCGTTTTAAAGACGGCTCTTTTCTTTTTTTTTCTTAAAAACAAATCGATTAATATCGCCCGACAACTCATTAATATGTTCGTGACGTGAACTTCAAGTAGGTACACATCAGTGTATTCTGATGCACTTAACACGGTGGTGTGACTGTCAAGTTGACAGACTGTACTCGAAAACCTCTCCTGAATGAGTATCTACCTGTTCGCACAGGATGCGCTTGTCTGAAAGGATATTTTAATTTTCTGACGCTAGTTTTACACATTGTGAGGACAAAGGAGAAAAGAGCACAAATTACCTGATAGAACAAAGACTACTGATCATCCGATGACGAAAATTGAAAATCACGTATTGTTAGTATAATGGACACATAGAGAATAACTCACCCATAGGCGGAAAAAGCACTATTAGATGTAGCGAACTTAATCTCGCTATAAAAATCATTGCACAATGTAATTGCAAAAAGGAGAAAGAAAAGAGGAGAATGAGAGATAAGTCATCTGCATATAGAAATCACAAAACCGCAATTACCGTAACTTAATAAAAGGAACTTTCAAAAATGCACCAATATGATATGAAATTACAATTGGAAAGCAAATCGACGGTGAAAGTGTCAGGCCGCGTACATTGACGTGGCATGAATTGCGATGTATCAATTGTTATGCCATTTAAACCTACGGTAGAGAATCGATTATTAAGGTGTCCGCTGCGAACACCCTGTTTATCGATCCTTTTCCATAGGTTTAAATGGCATAACAATCGATATATCGAAATTCATGCCACGCCACTGGCCGCGTATCTCGGTTTGCAACACTGTAGACTTCCTGTCTTACTTCATTTTTCAAATGAAAAACAACTCAAAGGTAATTTTTAAAAACTTCCCTGTTCATTTTTTCCTGTGCGAAGAAAACTCTGAACATTTCAAGAAATTATATCGTTTCGTTCTCCTTCAAAAAAATTGAATTGGAACGGAGATTTTTCAACACCGTGAACGAGCTACGTGGTATGGTAGTTTCACCGTCGAAATGTCTTTTTACATGTCTTTTCTTGTACTAAAAACGTGGTATATTTTCATAATTTTGGTCCCATTTAGCCTTGAAGTCCCAAAGAAGTCGAGCTACCTCAAAAAACCTCCTCTGCTCTAAACGGCCTTGATTCGCAAATCTGCCAGCGAGGTGTTCATAATCTTTCGAAACACTTTGGTTTTGATTACTCCGTTGACGTAAAACAAATTAATGACGAACTTTGACGTCGATAAAACAATGTGAGGCTGCAAGAATAGCGAATCTAGGCATAATGAGATCCTTATCGGCCGATTTTCAAAACTTGTTGAATAGGTAATTACACAGCGTTTGTGTTTAAATAGGTAGTTAGATCATGCCTCATTGACTGTAAACTTCAGTTTTTAGCAGCGTATTGTACTCAAACCTGCACCTTCCGCAATGTCGACGATTTTCTGTGGAGATTGCTCGTTTCTAAAATTGGTTTTCATCCATTTTCCACCTTGGAGTGATAAGTTGCTGAGACATGCAACGCTTAGAGAGAAGAGACACGGAAAATCAAAGCGTCCCAGGCATTGAAACTTTACTTTCCCACGGAGGAATCAAATCACAATCACAAGTAGAAAATTTTCTTAGTGCCTACTTCAACAATTATTTTTCTTGTTATAATGAATCTTTTTCGGCGAGACAAAAAAGAGCGTTCTTGAGATAACTTTTTCCTTGTCGCGAAGAAAGAACCGTCACCACGATGACTAAAAAAAAAACGAAAAGAAAGAAAGTCCGTGTCGAAATAATGAAATTTTATTCAGGTTTCATGTGTCATTCTAATCTTTCGTGCATGACATGGGCAATTTTCTCTGTAATGGTGCGATTCATATTTCTCCGTGATACTCTGTAGCGACGTACCACTTTTATCCGTAGCCTAAAATTAGGATATTTTGGTCGAAATCAATATTGAATAAGTTAAATGCACCTACAACAATAATGACGTGAAGAAGAGGTACTGTAATCAAATCAACTCAACCAGATTGTGTGTCGTATGGTATTCAACAGGTTTTAGGGCGCTTCTGCGCACTATCTGTGGAAGCCCACGTGAACGGGGTCTCTTTTAAAAACGTCCATTCATCGAAGTTTTTAAATGAAATTTTGAGATCATCATTGGAAGTATTCTTCATTCACATCGTACCTCTATTTAAATTTAGCGTATCAAAGTGCTTATGCTGAACAAATTCAAATAATACCACTGTGTGCGAAAAAAAAAACCGTTATGACCGCAAATGACAGTCAACTGTCAATAGGTACCGCTTATCGTCGTAGGACATCATTTTTTCTTATAAAACGTGAGGAACCATCAACCATTATTTGAGAATTTTTTCCTTCAATTTTACGACTCAGCAACTAAAAAATGTTTGACAAGAGCGACCTTCCGCAATCCATCCGTAAATCGAGGCGTACATTTAAAATTGACCGTAGAGATTAATATCCGGAAAAGATTTGAACTCGGTCGATCGAAAAACAGAGAGAAAAATAATCTTCTGTGAACAAGTCGGAAGCGTTTGGAAATAATCAGCATCCACCCCTGCTCTGATTGTCATGTTTTCGTTTAGATCACAAATGTCCATCTCTCCCTCTCTTACCCCTCTCTCTTCCTTTTTTTGCAATTGGAAGAAAAATAGTGTGCTTGATTTGAGTATTATCATGTACTCTAAACAATATGCAAATCGATCTCTGACGTTTTGGAATATCCTTTCTTCACCGGTGAGTCGCACAACCGATACCTTGCCCGTTGCATGAGGCTCTTACTCAAAAATGAAATTATGGCAACCATGCGAAAAACGTTTCACTGCGAATGAATTCACTGGATAGGTTCACTTACCAGTGATGATTTGAATAACTCGCTCAAGAATTTGACGAATAATTTTAAATATTTTCGCGGCTGACGAAATGCTCGAGAAGATTCTCCAAAGAGAGGATCCGAGAGGCGGCACTAAAGACTCGGGATAATTATTATTGGTTGACGTGAGCCTTTCGGAAGAAGAGACAAGAAGTAAATGATAATAACTTAAGTGATGACGTCACTGCAACTTAGCATGCGTTCTTTATCGTTATTGTGTCTTGTGATTGCAACTTTCGTAATCAGGAAATGGAAAAATTCCCAGTGAAGTTAAATAATATTTGATAGCAAGCGAAAAATTACATGATATGCCGAAACTTGCATCATAATACCTCACGATATCCTGCATCGAACTAATTTTCCTTCATTTTTCAGGATAGGAAAAGGCAGGTTCCATCACGTCTGAATAGTGTTATTAAAATGACAGGCTGTAGATAGATGTTCTCTGTCAATAAGGCTAAGGCGCCTACATACCACTATTACTGCTCTCCGGAGCTCGTCTTGCCTATCTCGTCAAATGAAGGCGGACCCATTCTCACAAATGCAGTAGCTCCCAGTTCGGACTTTACGCTGCCCGGTGGTTAACGTGGATTCCCTTATGTAATGTGGTACCTCTATGTCATGAAGTTAGAGTCGGCAAATCATAAAACAATTACAAATACAATTTTTGAGTCATTATTTAGAGTTTATGTTTTTTATTATTTTTTTATAATTATAAAAACTTGACATTTCAAGGCTAGGAAAATTCAATGGATATCAACCTCGTTCAGAAGTATAAACTTGGGAGATCTCTTAGTAGGTCATCAAACATGAAATGATTCCTTGAGACTGCTCGAAAGCGCTGCTGCCTGCGCGAATGAGGGTCCTTTCGGAGAAGGATAACAGTCACAAATCAAGCGAATACCACGAACAATGCAACCAACCAGAGTCCTGAATCTGAGTGCTATTGGATTTTGTTTGTTTGCGCGTTAGTTTGTTTTTTCAATTAAGTTATCGCTTGCTGTGCTGTGGGCTGTGGACTGGCGTCGCGTCGCTTGTTTTTGAGTCGAACAGTCTTCTCGCATGCTACGAAAACAGTCGCCCAATTGTCCCCATGTTGCCGCGCAGCATTGGTTAATTACTAAGACATGCACTATGACGTGATCAGTGCGATTTTTTACCACGCACCGACGTGGCGCCACCATCGTTTGCTCAGTAGATCTCTATGTTTTTTGAAAAATCTTAGAGCAGGCGGAAAACCTACAATTTAGAGTTATAGACGACTCTCGGTCTCCGTTGAGCGAAATAGTGACCAAATGGACCACATTTTGCAATAAGGAACCACTACTTCTGGCTCATTTTAGAAACAACATATATATCATTGGTTTCCCTATGGAGAAAGGTGCTATTATGGGAGTGCCAGCGATGGTGGTTCCTTATTGCAATTGTAATCCAAATGTCAAAAGCGATACCTACTTCGATGTCGCGAGAACAGGAATTTCTTGTTACTCATGTCTCTTGTCGAAGCCCAACTTCAAATATTTTTTCCGCCGGGAACGTATTTCCTGTTCCATCGTTTTTCTAAGTCTAAATGTCATTTCTGGCTCTGTCAGAACATGATAAATCTGAGAAATCCACCCTCTGTTCAAAATCTGAGAAATCCACCCTATAATGGATGTTCAAAATCTGATAGATACTCGAGTTCCTGTCTAAATGTTTTGGTGAATAGTTAATAACAAGAGGGAGATAGGGGATGGAAGTACATGCGGGCATCGACGAATCCAGCAAATTGCCAACATAATTTTTTCTCTATTTACTTAAACCAATGAAAATGTATCGATTCTTGGAGGGGCCTGGTGCTCCGACAAGAATCAAGAACGACAAGAAAGAGGGGGTAGAGGTAAGAAAATAAAAGTGAAATAAAGGTGCAACTTCGAGGCCAAAACCCCCACTATGATAAGACAACATTCCAATGCAGCCCTTATACGATTAATAATGCCCTATATGAATTGACCGGTCAAAAGCTTTCACGACGAGGTCCACACCGAAGTATGAGATGTATAGCTCTGAATAAATTATTCAGAGGAAGATTTTTTTTCTTGGATCATCGAGACATTGTGCCGATTAGAATTTATAGACACTTTGAAATCATGCGAATAATTCTGACGCTAAGCCGTTGTATTAGGAGTCACGATCGCTGTCTATTAGTTCATAATTTAAGTAGACTACTGACAAGGTGTACAGCTCAAATTCGGACCGCAGCATCTGAATTATTCTCCTTTATCGTTGAGCTTTTCCGCGATAAGGAAAAGAGTTTTCAGAGATTTTTCGCGGCATCCGTCATTTTCAGTCGGTGCTTAGGTATAGACCCGCGGAAGATATCTGCATAATCGTCGGCTTTCAGTCAGCACTTGGTTCTAGAGCTTAGGCTCCCTCTGATATTAGAAAAATGACGAGGAAATCAATGAGGAGGAATGCGTGCGGTTTATAAAATACAGATCACTTTTTTTCATGAATATCTCTGCAATTTATCAGGGCGAAGTATAATAGGTATCAATCGGTCGATGATTCTTCCACGTCAGGTGATTAAGTTCATTTGACAACTTTTACATACTAACAAGTTTTTTAAACACCTGCAAAGCGCAAAAATTTCACTGATGAGAATTAGAGGGGAGTTAGATGACTCAGTATCATCTACTCTTTTTTCGCCGACATGGAAGTTGCGGATTTTAGTTGAACTTTGGAGCGGATTCCTTTTTTTAGAAGCTGCGAATTCTAGTGAATACAGAGAGTATGTCCATTGTCCTTTGCATAAACACAGACTTCAAGAGAAACACATAGGACTTATCAACACATTGGCTTAAAAGGCTATCCAGGATAAATTAACCAATTCATGGTGTTTGGATCCCACATTTTTCCGGTCACTTCACAGAAAAGCGCTGTTTACCTATCGATTAATTCTCATCACGGAAAAAACGACTTATCGCTGATCCCTTGTACTTTACGTAAAATAGCGCCAACTACAAGCAGTAGGGATGGACCCTAAAACTGTAGGGCTGGCTCCTAAATCTGTAGGGCTGGACCCTAAAGCTACAGGGCTCAGCACTATCGCCAGTCGTGCTGGCACTATTTTACCTAGAGTGTTAGGACTGTTAGGGCTCAACGCTAACTTGTTTTTTCCGTGATTGGTAGCGCACATTGTCTACCAACAAAAAATGTCGAAGTCCACTATATATCGTAGATTGATCTATATAATCCTCAAATCGATGTTCGATACTTTCATTTTCAATGACATGTCACTTTTAGTACACATAAAAAAAACCCTAAGAAGAGAAACTTTAGAAGAAATGAGGGTGAGCCAACTCCCAGAAGGGCTTTGGGAGGATAGGGGACTTTGGCGGGTGGGTGTCGCAGAGCGCCAGAGAGCGCTATAAAAGCGGCTTTATATATATGTAAAAAAACCCTAAGTATTTATTTTTTCAAGAAAATAATTGACAAAATTTGTATTGTCTGTTGCAGAGGTTCTCGCCGGTGACGGCCCCGACGTACCCACAATCGCCAGGAGGCTACCTCTCGAGCGAGAGCGGGAAGCAGCCGATCTCGTTCGACCAGCTCAACGACCAATCCATATTCCCGGAGCCGATCGACGTGAGCAAGCTCATGAAGCAGATCCTCAAGGAGGACAACCCCGAGCTGGGCATGAACCTGAGCAAGAAGCCCCCGCACTGCTTCATCGGGCAGGACCTCTCCGACCTCACCCGGAAGCTCAACTCGGTCGACATCGAGCTCATCTCCCGCGAGAACGAGCCCTACCCGGAGGACTGCGGGGTGATCAACCTCAGCAAGAAGCCCGAGCGGAACCAGCTGGAGATCATACGGCTCACCAAGGAGGATTGTAGTAAGGAGATCCTCAACCTCAGCAAGAAGTCCACCTTCACTATCGACAGCCTCATGAGGAGATCCCCCGAACCTCCGCGCTCCTCCGGCACCTCCGAGGACGGCGAGGAGACCGACAGTTGTAACGAGGATGATGCTATGTCTGATAAGTGCTTTTGAATAGACTCATCAGTGCTTTGAACAGGATCCTTCTAGTTCCGACGAATCCCGCGCACCGCGCTAGTGGGCCAACACACATGCAGGTGGAACCTCCAGCTCGTGTGCTTCATGAAGAGCACCCCACATCTTGAGTTCCACATCGAATCCTTTCGAGTGTACCGATATTTTTGGTGTGAAATATCAAGACCATTTCTCGCTATGAGGATTTGTGGTACGTGGTTGATTCCGGTTTCAATCTCAGGTCATTGGGAAGAAAGTAATGCTTAATTCGAAGAAATTGTTATGCCATTCCGAGGAGTGAAACTTTTTGAATTTTATTTGCAAAAAAGAGGCGTTTTGGAATTATTTGTAAAGTTTACAAGCATTTATTTCAAAAATTTCAATCTCTTCGAGATTCTGAAATTGAATTGAGAGTAGATAAATAGATACCTCCATACCTACGGATTTACTTTCACAATAATGTATGCACGAAGACCAGTGTACGAGACAAATTTTTTCTCTCATCTCTGTTAAAATTCAATCCTTGTACGGATAGAGATCGCGCTGTCTCGCTTGAACATCGATGTAATGTTAGATTAGATGGCGAATACATTATTAAATGGTCCGGTACGATTTGAATGATAAGTAAGTGTCAAACAAAGCGGCATGCCTCCTGATAAAGGATTTGGTAATGTGAAAAAATGCACGACTGAATTCATGAGCTTTTGAAATTGAATTTTAAGAAATCTCAACATTTTATGGATTTAATATGCATTGTTCTCCAAGGATTTCAAGTACTTAGACTTTTTCCTGGTGCCTTCTGTGCAAATTGGCTTAAGACAGGGATAGGAGTGGGGACGGAAATATTTTTTGGATATGGAGACCATTGAATTGAGCAAATAATGAAAACTGTACCTAGTATGTGTTTTCCTCAATGTTGAGGATCACACTTTGATTTTTATTATGTTGGTCTACCTTGTAATTAATAGTTGACTTATGTCTTTTTTCGTGAAAGACTATTGTCGTGCAATTTTAAGTGGCCAGCGACTTGAAAGATTAAAATTCAGCCGAAAGAAGATTATTTTCACGGTAAAAATTATCGTTTCTCATTTTGTTCAGGCATTTTTATGATGGTCTGGTTAATGGTGAATTGTTAACCACTCTGTACTTACCTGTAAACTTTCAGTTGATTGGATGCGATTGTGTCTGTGCGTTGTAAATTGAAATTAGAAATCAACGATCTTATTTTTGTTTGTTTCCCTAGTCTAAAAACTGATCTCTGTGGGTAGTTATTTGTATTATTTCGCAGGTGGAGAGAGGCCTCATGAAAATGTTTGAGTTTGTGATATACCTAACCGACTGATACCGAATGTGGTATACCAACTGATACACCTAAGCTTGAGGTGTTTGATTTTTGCACCCTTGCAACGTTAAAAGTTGTCGTATTTGGAAATTATTGGTAGGCCTCTTCCCTCATCTCATTTTCTGAGGTTAGAGTCAATGCATGAGAATTTACTGTGGTTCTTGCTACACAAACTTACCGTCTCCGTCACAATGCGTCACGAATTCAACCATTTTCACCTCTCCGTTTAAGTTTTGTCTGATGAGAGTTAAGTACTGAAGAGAGATTATCGATGGTGCAATTATTAAATTGTAGGTTACTGAATACATTTTTGTTACATTTTTTTTCTTTTTTATATTAATAGTTACTTAAGAAAACCTCGAGGTATGGCGGGGGGAGGAGGGAAGAATTGAAGAAAATTGATCATACTTCTGAACTCATTGTAAATGTACACAAATGACCTCTGTTTCGTTATTACTAAATCAATGTATCTAAGTCCCTGGAGATGGTCCAAAAGTCCATAATCGGTGGTTTAGAAATGAAAGAACATTACCATAGACAAAAAAAAACGATCATTACAATTTCAGCGTTTCTGAAAAAGGTGCACTTTTTGATTGTTATGGGTTCAACATTTATTTGTGAATTCCATAGCCACTGAACTCGACGGAGGATTTGATTAGTAATGCAACGTTGAAATCTTACCAGGAGTGATCAAAAGCAAAGTTCCTGGAAAAAATAAATATCCCTCCAAAAACAGAGGTATCGCAAACATTTAGAGTAAATGTATCATTGTCTGTTTATGTATATTGTGTAAATACTGTCACGGATGAAAATAAAAAAAAATCGTTTATAATGACGTGTTACAATTTTTTCTAAGACAAACACTTTGAAACCTTGAAAAAAAAATCGAATCGTGAAAATAGGTAGGTAGTATGAACCCAACTTTAGAAAGAGCACAGTTGCTTCACGGCTGAGGATACGATTACCAATAAACATAGTAATCTACGCATAGTAGCAATGATTGTTCAATTTACCCCTTACAAAAACACAATAGTTGTCAAAATGTACGAGTTAGGAAACTCTTGTGGGTCTTCATACGTCCAATTCATGTACAACTTGCGTTGAACAAATTATACAAAAAGTTGACACCTCATTTTTGTTAAATTCTGAAAATCACTTGATGTTGACACTACATAAACTGCATCATATGCGACACAAGCACTAAACTCGTGTAAAAATTTTTTGCCAAAACAAAGCGAAAATTTTTTGCAAGAGTGCAATTTGTGACATTTTTTCTTGAAAAGGAACCAAATAGGTTTCTCACAGTTCAACAGTTTTTTTGGTGAATTTTCTCTTTGAAATTTCCGATTTTTGACAAAGCTACTGTGGGACGGTTACATGCACCTAACAGTGCGACCAATATTGAGCACCATCCTCCGATTCGTATAAAACCGGCGATAAAATCGCGATTTTTCCGTTGAAAAATGCTACTTAGGTGCATGATAGTGACTAGACCAAAGTCATTTTCGGATTAAATGGCTCAAAGAACATGTGGAATCATGCATCGCATGCCGCAAAAATTTCCCTAGCTGTGTCTACTAGCGATGATTTTCCGTTCGAATGTTATAAACCGCCCGTATCAGTATGCGTAACACTTGGCTCATTTAAGGTGTATCATAAAGAAAGCAGGGAAATGTGTGTTATTCATTTTTTTTATCGGGGCCACCCTACTATTTGATTCTGAAGCCGAAAGTGGCTTCAAATTTTTCCATCACCCACCAGTTTTCTCACATTTTTTGGCACCTAAAAAAGGCGTTCCGTTTTGGAAAATGTGTTTCCTCGAAAAATCTGAGAATGACGGAAGAAGTTCACGTCATCTTTGGCCCCAACAGTAATAAGAAAGTATAGGTAGGTGTAGCCCTAGTGAAAAAATAAATAATATATATTTTCTCTTCCTCTTGGATGTCAAATAAACGGACAATTTCTACATGACAGTAAATGAGCGGTTTCTATTTGACCGGAAAAACCTCGGTGTCAGACATGACGAAAATTGTTCACGTATGCAATGCGTTTTTAAAATGTACTTTGAGCTGCTGAATCTGAAAGTGACCTTGATTTGTTACAATCATCCACCAAGTTCCTGGAAAATTGAATGTTCCTCTGAAAAACTCATTTTTCGGGGAATATTTCGCAAAAAATTGGTGGGTGTAGGGTAAAAAACTGAGGTCATTTTCAGACTCTGCGCAAAAAATTACATAAAAATCAACCATCATAATCCCAGCGTTTTTAATTCTTTTTTTTGGCAGACGTGTGTAATTAGAAGTTCGTTTTTCATTTTCTCCTCTTCCTTGAACATCGTAGTTATGAACTTGTCGAAAAAGTTCCGGCACGACAAAAAATTATTTGATCGTTACTATACTGAAATGCGTTCAGCGTCCAATTATATTCCATTTAACTTTTGTTTCCTTAGCGAGTAGGAGGTTTAAATCGCCTTAAGGGGAAACGTTGATTTCACACTTATAAGTTAGTCCAGTGTGGCATCTGTGATGTTATTATAACTGTTGACTATTTTCCCCTATTTAGTAGACCACTGTTGGGAATAACGCTTTTCCCTAGTAAAAATTGGCGATAAGAGCTGCGTTTCAAAATACCATAGGAATTCCTATAGCCGGCGAAAGAAGGCTACAGAAAATCATATAGCTGGCTGTAGAATGCGGAGAAAATCATACGGCCGGGCTATACGAAGCGATAAAAAATTATGCAGCCGGGCTATAGTTCCTATCGCCGGGATTTACACTTTATCGCCTGGTTGTTGCTTTTTCGCCATCGATTATAAAAGGCTATAAGAAATTTTGTAGATATTTGTGTGCTCTGGAAATCATTAAGTTTGATACGGAACCACCTTAATATTTACAAAACACACATTATATGTATTTTCCTTTAATACATATTTTTTTTCATCAATTAAAATGAGAATAATCCATACAGGATGTGCAAACTTTTCAAAATCATGAGTTGAATAACGCTGAATCCGCCAAATTAAATATCAGAGCCTAACACAAAGCGGAGCGGCGACGCACTGGCGCCTACAAACCTAACAGGGATACTTCACGCATTGCGCAACGCGTGAAGTATCCCTGTTAGGTTTGTAGGCGCCAATGCGCGTTTCGCGCTGGCTGCCCGCCTGCCGCGCCGCAGCGTACCACGGCGCTTGAAGCAACTATTTCACACCAGAGGTATTGCACAGTATCATTCGAAACTGAAGGCGCTCTAATATATTAGTAATGGCAGCCATCCATCAAAAGTACGGAGCTTTCCTTGCAAAATAAATCAAGATACTACGGCCCAAAAAGAGAGCAGTATTCCAAAAACTCACTCAGTCCTAGCATCTGTAATTAGTAACGTTAAGCATACACTTTATCGTCTGGATGTTGCTTAATCGCCATCGGCTATAAAAGGCTATAAGAAATTGTGTAGCCGGCTATAGAAGCTATTGAAAATCTTACAGCCGGCTGTAGGTCTGTGGTGTTTTGGAACCCAGATTCTACTGCCAATTTTTACCAGGGTTGACCTGAATCCTTTTTCTCGATGTCTTGAGTGGAAAAATGTTTGAAATTCATCTTCTTTCCAGCTTCATCGTTTTCTCCAAAAGATGCTTAATGCAAAAAAAAAGGAACTATGTCCGGGTTCCTTGCATAGTGTGCGCGATGACCGCAGTACCACGATGTATTGCATAGCATATCGACGGCTAAGATACGAAACCACTTATCTCCTCTGTGGTGTTTCAGAATCTCTGCTTCTGTTTTATTTTTGCAAAGAGAAACGAGTCGACTATACAGCTAATTGAAATTCCTACGGAATATCCTGCGAATAGATACGATATATCGAGGAAGTTTTCAAGAAATTTTTAAGCTGACTTGCTTTCCAATGAAAAAATGAAGTATGATAAGGCTGCCACGTCGCACAGTAGATCGAGTCAATTAGAGAGGTCGGACATGAAATTTTTGACTTAAACTTCAAATTTTGATGTTAATTTCGTCACATTTTGAATTTCAAGGGGTGCTTGAAGAAGACAATTTCACGAGAAAACCAATGAAGCCACATTTTGAACCTCAAAGTTTTGTATAAACGGAGTTATGAGCGTTTAAAGTTTCCAAATTTTGTCCGACTTCTCCTATGGACTCGATCCACTGTGCGTTGCAAACAGAGATCCATTAGTTTTGGATGTAGGGAATATATCGAAATATGAAGTAATTATCTGAAACCAGTTTGGTATCTATAATCGAAACGTTTAAGTATACCTGAAATGAAAAGATTGAAGGGCCATGAATTGAAGTTAGCTACCTGTAAACGGAACAACATCGAGATTTCGAACAAATTTTGCTAAAATATTTGTTTAAGTTTAAACGTTTGGCTCCATTCCAAATGAAACAGACCTGCTTTATCTCTAGAGACTCCTTTCAGCTGTTTATTTACCAAAAAATTATTTTTTGAACCCTAAAATAAAGCTGAAAGTATCCGAACTCGAAAAATTGCATTCAGTACGTCAACTTGAACGGTTAATTCCACACACTTTCACTTTGAATACAGGGTAAATTAAAGAGATATTTTCAGGTTTGATAGATAAAATGTATTTATAAGCGAGATTGATGTGTTTTTGCAAAAAAAATTTACAGTGAAACCTGTTTGTTAGTAAAATTTAGTGGTGATCTCGATTTTCACTTATTCCTGCTACGGATTCACCTCAAAGTAAGAATAAGAAAAATAGTTCAGAACTAATGGCGGTGAGACTAGAGCGATGGTCAAGACAGAGGGAGTTTCTAGAGACATGAAATAAAGCCCAAGCATAAAGAAGGAAAAAGTGTTGAGGGGCGAAGAGAGGAGGAAGACGACCAGAGAGGAGGAGAAGAGAAGAGAAGGGTCGAGAGAGTAGGAAAGATCTACGCCGCGCCGGATCGTGGATCTTGTGTTTGTTTAATTTCCTTGGACAGATAGACACAAATTTTTACTTTTATTTATTTATCCACTTCTTTCATTTTTTAATATTGTTTACACTATCCTGCGTTTGTTTCTTCCATAAACAAAATAAGTATACAGGTATTCCTCTTGCGGCGCGGTCGTGGTGGTGGCAAATATTGGAATGGTTTTTTCGAGGCGCTCTTTTAAGGCGCCAAGCACTGGCCGCACCATTTCTACAGTGTTGCCGTTTGTGCAATAGTTTTACAAATATTTCCGGGATAATAGTGGTAAAGCAGGCAAAAACGGATAACTGTACCTAATGCTTTCCTAAAGAACTCTCTTAAAAATTTGCATTGCTGGTTAATTAGGAATGGCGTAAAATTGGTGTGTTTTACGTGAGGGATCAAAAACTAACGAAAAGTGGAATGCATTTTGCAAAAAGGAACTAAGAGCATTCCAATTTCGCTAGGATTGTGCAACTTTGTTTGCCTTGCAAATATAAACGGATTATCTGAACAAATTTTATCTTTACTCCCAATAAACTATAATGGACTACTGGATAAGGTACGAATTTTAGCATTCTGATACATGTTTCTTAAATGAAATTTCACGTAGAATACGATGCGCATAACGAAAATTGCCGAAATTAACTCCTTACGAAGATATTAAATGATTCTTGATGCGTGAATTCAAATCACCCGCTCATGAAAACTCAATGCTCTACGTGATTCACATAGCGCGCTAAACGTTATTATGACAGTCTCTACGATATACAAATCTGGCAACCTCAATCTTGACGCTTTGGCTCACCTGTAGAAAATTGCTTATAGTTTGAACAAAACTTGGTGGGAAATGAACATTGCTCGACTGAGAAGCTTGCTGAAACCGTTGTAG